AAATTTTGAATAAAAAGCAAAAACATTAAAAATCACAAAATTTAATAGCTGAACCAATAAGTGTTGTAAAATATGTTGAATTGAATAATATATCAATCATTTTTCTTTGTTATAAATGGTTTAAGAAGATACAAATTTGCAAGTTGTTATATGCAAATGATCAGAAAATATATATTAATGATTAACATTTAACCAAGTAAATTAAAATAAAAATACAACAATGGATATTATAGTGGTTGTATTTAAGGGAAACAAAATATGATCCTAATTTTTTTATTGAGAATTGCATAAAAACAGACAACTTTTTTTAGTTACTTAATTGATTACTTTTTTATTCTCTTAAAATTTTCATAAAAAAAGAAAAGAAAAAAAACTTAGGAAGGCTTGAGTTTTGGGCATATCTTATTTAGGTCCTAAATGGTATTTATTTTGGGTATTTTTTAAGTGTTTTCCTAAACAAATTTAACTAACTTGGGAATGTAAGAAGGCTTGAGTTTTGGGCCTATCTTGTTTGGGCTTAAAGGATGGAGAATTTGGGTTTTCTTGTTTTTCTTTTTTTTCTTTTTTTTTTTTTTCATAAATGACCTACTTATTTGACCTTAAAGGGTACTTTTTAAAGATTTTAGTGGTGTTAATTTATTGGTTAAAGATTGTTCTTAAAAAATTTGGGTTAATTTAACAAATCAACTTTTAATTTTCATATTTTTTTCAGTTTCATTTATTATTTTTAAATTTTTTTAATCTTATCTATTATCTTTCACATTTATTTTAATTTCATATAATCTGTTATCTTTAACGGAAATATCTATTATCTTTAAGGAATCTCCTTATTCTAAGAAAATATTTAGTCCTTTAACTATATTTTTTTTATCTTTTAGTCCTTAAATTTATATTCACTGTAAAAACAGTTTTTATTTTTATCTTGCTAAATGTGTTCTTCAGAAAATTGATTTACAAAGTAAACTATATGCAATCTGTATTGTAAAATTATTTAAATGCCCTTAATTTTATTTTTATATTATTTCTAAGTAACATTTAAATAATTTTATAGAATAGATTGTATACAATCTGCCTTGTAAAACATACTTACTCTTAAAACTTCTCATTTTAAATTCACTAAGTTTCTCTGTTTGAATTGAGTTAATTATTCAAGTTTATTACAAATTCTAACTAATCTATCTCTATAAAATATTTCTTGAGTCATTATATTTTATTAGAATTATAATGTCGCTTTTTCAAAATTTAAAGAATTATTTTTTCCGTTAAATCTAATAAAATTTTATATGGTAGACTATTTTGAAATATTTGTCAAAGTTTATAGACCATTTAGAAAAAAAATATACCTTTTAAATTAAAATGAAATTAAGTTAATAGTTAATAGATTAAAAATTTAATTAAGCCTAAAAAATTTAATTAACTTGGGAACGTTAAGAAGGCTTGGGTTTTGGGCCTACCTTACTCGGGCTTAAGTGATGTTGATTTTGGGTCATTTTTTTATATGAATGACCCATCTTACTTGGGCCTTAAAGCTATTTTTTAAGAATTTCAATGATGTCAATTATAAAAGGAATAGTATTTATATGCTTTACTTCCTTAAAAATTAAGAGAAATATTATTTCAACATTTTAATAAATATTTATTAAAAAAATTAAAA